GTGTGCGTGTGCGTGTGAACGAGAAGAACAGCCATCCGCACACTCACACCCGTGTAGGTACAGTGATAGAGTCCCAACAGTATAGGAAGAATGATATACTTATGAGGATATCGGTAAAATGATATATTCAAAATGAGTATAGGCAGAATGATACATATCGTTGAGGATATAGGTACAATGATATTCTCGCAAGAGTATAGGCAAGATGATATATCTATGGGTGTGGGGTGGGTGTAAGTGTGGGGGTGGGGTGTGGGTGTAAGTGTGGGGGTGGGGTGTGGGTGTAGGTATAACTCTGGCTGTTTATCTTGTAGCGATCTACACTCACATTCACAGCCACACACACTCCCACTCACCCACCCACATCCACCCCACCCCACTCACACCCACATCCACCCCACCCCACCCCCACCCCCACCCACACCCACATCCACCCTACCCCACTCACACCCACACCCGTTCACACCCCCACCCCCACCCACACCCATCCACACCCACACCCCACGCCCACACCGGCTGACGTAAATAGCTAACGTAAACAGTCGCTGTTATTCGCCGTATTTGGTTAGTAAACGGCCGTTTACGGGCGAGCATGATTGACCTGGAGTTGCAGCAGTTTCTTTAAAATTTGGTCACGTGATCTTCTCTTATAGTTTCTTGTTGTAAGGTAATTTTTCTGTTGTTAAATGTCTGTAGTTTTGCTTCTTTCTATCTCTAATGATATCACTCATTTCTTGATTGGAATTTTTTAATCGTTCGATGTATGATAATCTGTATATGACTTTTCCTTTCTTTCTTTGTTTTTGTATGATTAATTTCAACAACTGGCGATGTTTTAATACATTCTCATGAATTAAGTTTTATTCTATACAAAGCCTAATAAAAAAAACTAATGAGATGTATCCTTCTCAAAAGAGAGATAGAAAGTATACATGCAAATAAAATGCAACATCATATTGATATAAATAACGACAGCATATGCATACTGTCTCCTCTACTTACGCAGCAGAACGAAACAAAAAAAATTACAACGGAATGATGATGTAAATAAGAATGAAGCGTATCTACCTTGGATATATATATATGAAACAATAAAGAGAAAAAAGTATAGAAGGATTTATTGATCATCACAGCGAATTAAAGGTATTGTAGAAAATATTGAATATATATTGTAGAGAAAATAATGGTTAAATTTGTTCTGACGGGTTCAACTGGTGAACTTGGTTCAAGTGTTTTACGACATTTATTTGGACTTGGCGTCAATCCTAAAGAAATAATATTATCTGTTTATAATCCAAAAGATCCTGATCCTGAATTAGCGAAAATTGTTTTCGATGTGCGTCATGGTGATTATAAGCGACAAGAAACTCTTGAAAAAGCGTTTCAAGTTGCAGAAATTTTATTTCTTGTTTCATCAACAACAATGATTCATGAGAAACGAACAGAAGAACATCGAAATGCTATTGACGCAGCAAAAAACGTCGGTATTAAGCATATATTATATACAAGTTTGGCATGTGGTGATACTCGAGAAACACAAATAATGATAGCACCTTTAGATATGGAAGATTTAATTAAAGCGTCAGGTCTCAAATATACAATTATTCGCGAAGGAATCTATTCAGAAATGTTTCAAAGTTTTATTGGATGTTGCGATGCTTGGACAACAACTGAAATAGTTGTGCCGGCTGATGGTGGTATTAGTTTTGCTGGAAGAGACGATTTAGGTGAAGGAACAGCAAAAATCTTAGCATCAGCAAATAAATATGAAAATAAAACAATTTTCTTAACTGGTTCAAAAGCTTATACATTGAAAGAAATAGCTTTATTTGTATCAAAAATCTTAGGTTGTAATATTCCATTACGCTTTGTTTCATCAGAAGAATATACTAACCAATATTTGAATGGTAAAGATGAATATTGGATTCGACTTTGGGCAACAACTTATCCAGCTTTACAACGTGGAGAATTAGGAAGAGTTTATTCTACTTTAGAAAATTTATCGGGACGAAAACCAAAAAGTTTAGAACAAACTATTAAAGAAATATTAACAGACAAACAGACAGGTGAAAAAGAATCAAAAGCTCACAACAAATATTGGCAAGCATCAACATTTAACAACAAATAACATTCAGTTTTTCTAAAGAGAACATTCTTTTTATTTTGTATTTTTTATTATGAAATAAATCTGCATTAAATAGAATTTCATCTATTCGTATGATCATTTTAGAAGAATTATTTTAAAATATTTTAAGGTTAGAAAGGTACAGAGTACATAAAAATGTTTTTTTCAGAAGAGTAACACTGTGATTCCAAATAGCATTTATAACAAATTTTATTCTAAATTAAAGCGCATTAAAAGAAATTTGTTAGTAGTTTTAAATAGGAAGGATTATGAAAATATTTAGTGTCGAATTCAGAAAATTCCTAAAATTTTACGGCACAACGGTATAGAAAAATTCATTTGATGAAGCAGTTCAAACTAAATCTGATTTAAAATGATAAGTATCACAAAATAGTCGACACTCATTTCACCTGATTTAAATGTAGCTAAACATATTGGAACAATAATCAAGAAGGAATGTGTAAAATAATTGCATTATAAGTGGAACATCATCGTTTTTACGGAAACACATTGAAAAAATAGATTTCTATGTTTTGGCGAACATTTACTTATCTGAAGACTGTTTTATGTTTGTATCCATCTTATCTTCGTGCCGTAAAAGAGCACTATTCATCTTCGTACTGAATTATTGGTTATATTTGATCATTTTAGATTCGATCTAATATTCATTTCAATGAACAGTGCACTCCATTGCAAATTAAATAACTCGGGCTACGAAGTAGCTAGAAAGCTTCGCTTTTCATTTTTGAATATAGGGGTAGTAACTTTAAATGAAAATATGAACAAAACGATTTCGCTTCAAAATTCGAGGTCACCTGTGTACGAAATTCGCAGCAACTTTGCTGAGCGTCCGTAACCGCTTTGGCATTGATTTATTTTTTATAGATTTAATAAAGCAGACAATTATCTATCGTTTGCCACCAATTCCAGCTTTCTAGCTTTTACCGTTAGAGAGTTACAGGCCTTTCTTCTGGAGTCCAAAAGTAGCATTTTCAGCGATTTTCGAGATTTTTTTGATACTTCATTGAAGTCGAATCACTGAACAAAGTGCATATTCGGAATCAGCGTGCAAAAAGGTGTGGGTATCCATGTAAATGCGAGTGTAGGCGTTGATATCTTCTCATCGCGAACACTCATACCGACACTCACACTCACCCTCTATTTTATTTATCTCTATATTAATTTGTATTTACGACTCTTTTTTCTTTTAACATTTGATAGTTAAACATAAATTAGAAATGAAATTTATTTAATATATTCAATCATGTATTCATGTTTACTAATAATTTCAAAGTATGTATATCTTTTCTCTGTTTAGAATTAAAATAATTCTATTCAGATTTCCTTACCAGTAAAAAGACATTTAGCTGTCTCTTCTTCGATATCATATAAATCGAGTCCATATAAATTAGGATAATCGGCGACATGTAGAATACTTTTCATAAATGATGATTGAAGATCTAGCCATTTAATTTTTATATGAATTTCAGGTAAAATCTGTGAACAAAATCGATCAAGTACCATATCAGAAGAAAAGGGTGTGGGTGTGGGTGAGTGTGGGTATGGGTGTGGGTGTGGGCGTGGATGTGGGTGTCGCTGTGGGTGTGGGTGTCATTCTTCTTTCAGCCCTCACTCACACCCACGCCCACACCCCCAGAACATTAAAAAAACTGGGGAGAACCTTCTCACACTGGGAGGAGGTGCTGACCCCGTTTTGATCTTCCCTGGACAAAAGGGTATCCTCTGCAAAATTTCAGCGCATTTGCTCGTACGGTGACCAAATGCATGAAGAACAAACAAACAAACAAACAAACAAACAGACAGACAGGCACAGACAAACATTCTTCTTTATATATACAGATATAATTAGCGGTAGTTTTCTTATAGATTTTCGAATAGATCGATTTACTAACATATTCACTCTCGTCCTTTGACTTGTATCATTGAAATATATTTCTGGATCTGTTCGAAAGAGAAGTTTGTAGGTTTCTATTAGTACAACTCATCGAATTCTATCTACCTATATAAATAGACGTAACAATGGAAGAGTTTGTACTGTTGAACTAAGCGGTTCATCATGTGGGTGGGTGTAGGTGTAATCTCATTAAAGTACCATAACCCTCACTCACACTCATACCCATACTCACCTTCAAATTTTTCTGTTCTACTTAATTAATATTAAAAAAACTAATTAGTAATAATGACATTGAAAAACTATTTCTTACCAAAATATAGCTCGTTGAATTCTATATTGAATGATATTTAGAAAGATTTTTAATAACTGTTAAATAGGAAATATTTAATCAAATATTAGAAGTATCTTAAATTTTTTCCACTAGGCAAAAATAATTTATGTTATAAAAATTGAGATAACCAAGCTTAAATTTTTTTATGATTTCAGATCTATAGCTCGTTCTGAGAGCTATCGAAATCGCTATTTGGATATCGAAAAGTGCCTTAAACATTTTCGCGCCACTTTATATAACTAGCCGAGTTTGTGTCTCCTTGGGAAGTGTTCGTGTATTTTACGAATGGCCACTTGCCGGTCTTGCTCGTTATTCGTTCTTTTTATTACCTGCTGATTTACTCGGTTAATACTCATCCATAATCATATCAATAGGTCTTGCTGGTTCTTTTATTAGCTGCTACTCCTACTCGATCAATATATATTACTTTTTTGTTGTAATTTAGTGAAATACTCATCTGTTTCGTTAAGGATGAACATGCTTGTAGGATTGTTTTTAAACAAATAAAAAACAACAAAAAATATTTTTTCTTCTCTTTTTCATTTTCGTTTATTCTATTGTTTGTTGCAAACGAAACAATTGTGTTTTATTTCCTAATTCTGATTCCAAAAGTTACAATAATTATCAATCTACAATAAAGGAAAATAAATGTAATAGTCTTTCGAACCGACAATTGTTCTTTCAATAATTAATCGTGTTACATTAGCACAATTACGTCGTGTTATTTCTCGTGTAAAATCTTTTGTAATAATTCTTAATTCCTCATATCGAACCCGTAATTTGGACAGACGAGGTAGATGTGTTTTGGTTTCATTTAGAAACTGTTCGACGTAATAACCATTTGCCCATGAAATATCAAGGAAAGTAAGATGAGGATATTCAACGATTTTATATGGTTGAACAGTGTTGTCAGATAATTTCTCCACATCATATGATAGTGGTCTACTATTCATTACACAGAACCTTTTAAGCTTTGGAAAAGCTTTACTTATTCGTAGAAAGAATTCATGTTCAAATGGAAACTCATCATGTACACATAAGTCGATGACATGAGTGAATAAAATATTTGGAAATATATTTCCAATATATATGAGCTGGGAAAACTGGAAAGGAAGTGTAAAGACATGATATGTAACTGTGTTAGCAACAAATTGAACAATATTCGATACTTCTTGATATCCTATGTTCACATAATTTTGTTTAATATCATTATTGGACAAATAACGAACTAAATCATTTCTGTTATTCTTTGTACTAATATAAAACTTGAATGAATGAAGTCGTGACATATGCATTGAAAATTCATTTATGAGATAAATTGGATCAATGAATATACGTTCGAAAACGAGACGCAAATACAAAGTTAATTTTTCCAAGTTTATCATACGACGAAGATGAGATACAATTTTATTATCACATTCTTCAATTAAACCATAATGTATTAATGAAAAACACTTTAGATTAGGTATATCATCCTATAGAATGAAAAACAACATTATTAAGAAATTTCTTTTATAATATTAAAGTATAATCATTTATATCAACTTAATTGAAAACTGTTTCTATTTAGATAACTGTTTTACAATTTAATCCAAATAGACCTTTTATTTCTTATGTTACAGTTTAGTTTTCTATAGAGACAATTAATTCTATTTAGTAATCTGTAATAATTGAAATATTACATTAATCAATGGATATAGAAAAAGATGACTTCTATTTTCGTTATATTCATTTTTTTTGGTTTTTGCTCGTTTTATTGTGACACTCGGAAGTGCTTACAATGAACATAGTACAAGAGCAGTAAAAGGAAAAGAAAAGAATGAAAAGATAGGGAACACTAAAGGGGGTAATATAGCAAAAGAACTAATAAACAATGACAGTGAGACGGATAGAGAAGAACATGTAACAGATAAGGTAAATGTTTGGTATAAGGAGAGAGGTCAAAGGACTAGCAGCTTTGCACGTCCGTTCTTTCCTATTCTTCTATTATCACTAAGATCAGAGAATTCTAACCAATCCAATAGGAACGAGCGATGCTTTGATCTGAAACGTTTAACACGTTTCAACAAGAAAAGATGACCCGTGCCGTCATTGGCTTGCTTACAATAATTATCCCAATAAAAGACATCTTCTAGAAATAATGAGAAGCCTAAATCGGAAGAATATATCTTTTTCAATCTTCTCGAGATATAGCGTTTGACATAATTATCAAGCGATTCTTCTAGAGTAAATGTAATAAGATCTGCTGCGCGTACAAATGCGGCACGATGAACTAAACGTATTGCAACTCTAAACTTTCTTCTAAGTGCTTCTTGATGAGTTGGTGAAAGGAAGGGAAAGAAGGAGAAGATCCAAGAGAAATGGGGAAATGTATAAGCGAAAAAACAACTTCTCAAAACGTCTTTGGGCAAATTTTTTTCGAATCGCAGCCACTTCAGCTTACAGATAGACCTTTGGATGTTCTCGAGGCTTCTGTTTACGGTAGGACTCATTGATAGCTTACTAGTCCAAGTGTAACCGAGGTACTTGAACGAGTCAATTATTGTAATTTTCTGACCTAGCAAACGTATGTCGACTAATGAATTCTATTTTCTTTGTATTCATCTGACTATTCAATAAATGCTCATCTAATTTCAAACGAGATATGATTGATTATATCATAGAATATATATTTAAAGAGATAACAATTGACAATCGGTAACTCCTACATCTGTACATAATTATTAAGATGTTCGCAATTTAAAAGTCAAGCCGACTTTTTCTTTACAGCTTTTTCATACATGTTTCAATAGAGCGCGAGTAGATGATCATGAAAAAATTTCTTTAAGTCCAAAAAGACAAAAAAATCAAGTAGATCAATTTTTTTGAAAATCGATGAAACTCTGTATTTTACTTTTTTTATCAGCTTATGAAACAATTTTATTTGTATGGCAGTGGCGGATCTAGGATTTTTTGAATGGAGGCGATTTTGGTCAGAAAACGCGTTTGCGACTTCGTTTGAGGTAAAGTCGATTTATTCTTAGGTCTTTTCTGCTGGCAAAAATCGAAAAAAAATTTTGAGAATAGGGGCGATCGCTCCAGCACCCCCTAAATCCGCCACTGTCGTATATAACATCAAAAACTGAGTATCGTGCTGCCATTTGTGTCCAATCGAGTGCTCACTAGCCATTTTTGTAAACCTGTCTAGTTTTTTGGTTAACTGGAGAACTGAAATATTTATCTCATTCGATTCATCACATCATTAGTGATAAAAGTATGCATCGCTTTTCTTTCTCTTTTATCTTCGTTGTCGAGAAATATCATTTTTCCTCAACTCTATCCAATTAGTTTGAGCCGATTTAATGTCATTTTTATATTTAGGAGGGAACATATCTAAGTGTCGCGAACGCCGTTCAAGCCTAGATTTTGGCTATAAGTAGGACTCAATTAGGTTAAGAGAAACCTAAAAGGATTCGAGCCAATGGCCTATTGATCAAGAGTTATGATCATTTTAATGAATTTTTGGCTTGTCCGTAGGTATTCACTAGAAAGTCAAATTAGTAGATTTCGATCTGAAATTTTGCCCAAAAATAGGTCTGATGATCTTTGAAATACCCTGAAAGTTTTAGCATAAACAAACGATCCTTTACCGAAATATTGGATTTTCATGTAAACTCGATTTTTGAGACACGCCGGTGAAACTCGACTAGTTTTTGAAAACTGAATGTTCTGGTAAAGAATCGTTCGTTTGAACTAAAACTTTCAGGATATCTCAAGAATCATCGAAATCTAGTAATCTGACTTCCTAGTGAATACCTACGGACATGGCAAAAATTCATTAAAATGATCATAACTCTTGATCAATAGGCCATGGGCCCGAATTTTTTTAGGTTTCTCTTAATCTAATTGAGTCCTACTTATAGCCAAAATCTGGGCTTGAACGAAGTTCTACACTTAGATATGTTCCCTCATTAGTTTTTGACGCTCTATACGAAAAAGAAGTTTCATTAGCTGAAAAAATAGTAAAATACAAAGTTTCGTCGATTTTTTTCAAAAAATGATTTACTTGATTTTTTGTATTTTTCGGATCTAAAGAATGTCTTTCATGATCATCTGCTTGCGATCTATCGAAACATTTATAAAAAACTTGAAAAAATAGTCGCTCGAGTTTTGAGTTGCCGGAACCTTACTTTGTTCAGATTATTAGAGTAAGATTGAAAAATTCATCTGTTTCATCGCATTAATCAAAACTTAACAATTTCAATTCTTCTGAATGATGGCTGGTTCTCAGACAAGTTGAAAGAATATGCAAGAACTTTTACATATCGTTTTTTCAAGTCTTTTCATAGTTTTCAAAATTAGAAAATATACCATTCACTTCTAATCACTTGTAAGAGCAAATTTTCTTTAAGACCAGTTTCGACTTTGAGACTAAAACTGGTCTTACATATTTCTATTGCTTTTCTCAGAATTCTTCATTGTTTCCAATTTACAGGTGAGATTTTATTCGTTTGAGAAGCTCAAAAAGATAAAACATACTTACTAAATTATGAACAACTGATGAATCTGTATCCATTTGATAAAATTGAACAATCAATGTACTCAACTGTTTGAGATGACCATCAAGTAAACAAACAAAATCAGTAAAAGTTTGCACATTAATACATAAATAAGTAAGAGTTGAAGAAGAAAAAGTATTTGATGGTAAATAACGAATTGACAAGCTTGGATATACAAAATTTGATGACGCAGTAACATTCAGATGCTCTAACTTTTCGCAGTAAGTCAAAATATGTGCGTACACTGTTTTTGTATAAACTTTCGATGATATTATCTCATACCCATCATCTTTATGAATAAGATCAAGTTTTGTAATTTGTTCTTTGAGAATATGTTCAAGCAATGAATTGTCTAAATTAAAAGACAATTACGAAACATTGTATTATCTATTCTTATTGTAATCTTTCAATTAATGGAATTATAGAATATATGTTTACCTGTGAAATAATGTAATGAACTATCACGTTGAAAATTAAAAAGTTTTAATTCAGTCAGATTTGGATAAGGAGTAGCAAGAAGAATGCGTTCCATGAATTCTGGTTCAACAATGAAACATTTCACATTGAAATAAATTCGAGGTAATATATAATCACAGAATCGATCAAGTATTGAATCAATTATTGTACTATTTTCAGTAATTGATGCAATATTAAGACTATTAGAAAAAAACTCATCTTCTATTATTTTCTCAAGTCGTTCATTATTAATGCCAAAAAATGAATAAAGAACATCAACATTTTCAAGTTTCTTTAAAATATTAAATAACATTTCATTAGGTAAATCAAGAAGATGAACACTAGACAAATTCATGTTTAATATTGATTATAACACTTTTACCAATATATATTCAGATAAATATTCTTTGTTTATACTTGTAATCATTGACATCAATGAAGAATAAAATGAATGAATTCATTTAAAGAAAGGTTATATCAATGCATCGTCCAATGAATATCATTTCTTTCTTTTTCTGCACATATTCTCATGTATATGTTGCAGTAGAAATTAAAATTCAGTAAAATTTTAAATTCTACTGAATTTTAATTTCTACTGTGACATATACATCATCTTTGCGTTGTCTTCATTTTCATGCGGGCGTCGGAAAAAAAGTCATGTTCAGAAAAGAGAAGAGAAGAATTGAATAGAGTAAGTGAGGGTAAACGTATAAAAAAATCAGCCGGGTTCAGTATATTAGCTATAACTGTTTTATTTTTCATTATTTCAAAAAATTTCCTTCACAAGTCACCTAGCTATTGGTGAAATTCATTTTTCAAAATCTTGTGAGCAGAGCTATCTACGAGGTGCCCTTTAGATGCTGTTTTTCGATTATACAGTTTCTGTCCGGGGGGGGGGGGGGGGGGGGGGGGTGAATGTATAATAGCGTTGACGTCACTAGGATAAATGTATAAATCCACTTATTTTTTGCTGGTGTCAGTAAAACTAAATTTTTGAGCAATTGATACTTTATTTTTTTCTGATTTTTCAACAATCGATAGTTCAAAGTCTTCCGTATCGATCTAGATTAATCTTAAAATTATAAGTTCCGAATTCAAGTGTTTTATAGAGCTCACAAAAAGAGCACTAAACGAAAAATTTCTGTATAATTATTCCACATGGGGTAATTGTATGATCGCCAATGCGCTTGTAGGTAGGGATGCACCAGTGCCAGTAACTGGGTCCCAGTCGGACTGGGTACCCAGTCCGACTGGGTGCCCAGTCGGACTGGATACCCAGTCCGACTGGATACCCAGTCCGACTGGGCACCCAGTCCGACTGGACACCCAGTCCGACTGGGCATCCAGACCGACTGGACACCCAGTCCGACTGGGTACTTAGTCATTTGAAGTTTATTTCGCTAATCCATCGGTACTTCCCTCTTTTCTAAGGATGTGGGTCTGGAGGTTGGTTTGACGTTGGTATGGGTGTCGTTATTGCCATTCTAACTATTTCCTCATCCAAACAACATCCACACCCATATCCATCCAAACAACACTCACATCCACAAGCCACCCACGCACATCTACACCCTAGCCATACCCACACCCTGAAAACATGAAATTCATTTACAGTATTGTAAATTATAACGATTGATATATAGAAATACATGATTAGCCAATGGATTTAGTATCATAACTTATTTCACTACTTCAACAGCCTAAAAATCACTCTATGGCAATATACTCGAAAAGAAAGTACTACTTGACTAATGGACTAAATATCAAAGGACTCAGTACCCAGTCGGACTGGGTACCCAGTCGGACTGGACACCCAGTCGGACTGGACACCCAGTCAGACTGGATACCCAGTCGGACTGGGCACCCAGTCGGACTGGACACCCAGTCGGACTGGGCACCCAGTCGGACTGGGTACCCAGTCCGACTGGGACCCAGTTCACCAGTCAGAACTGGGACTGGTGCATCCCTACAAGTTGTAGGGTATATGTATAAACTCAGGTATTTTTGCTGGTACCAGTAAAACTAACTTTTTTAAAGATAAAAACAGATTTCAATGACATTTTTTTTACATAAATGTTCTCATAAAAAACTACACAGGACCAAAACTTTTCTTTACTCATTTCTCTACTAATTTTCAATATAATAGGGATATTACTCAAAAAACCGGTAAAACAATGTAAAAGCTATTTTTTATCAAGAATATTTTTCAAAAATAATTCCATATTCACAATCAGCATTAAATTCTGAGTAAATTGATGTATTTGTTTCTATCGAAAGACGGCTTTTATTTTTTATCGATTTTTTTTGGCATCTGTGGGGGACATCAGGGTCGAGTGAAAAAAATTTTTTTCAACTTTAGTTAACTTTAGTAAATTTACCATCATTTTACTCAGAATTTATCATTGATTCCGAATACCGTAACCATACCACTTAAAAATTTACTATGATAATGGAAATACTGGAAATATCAAATAGTAATAAACCAACTCCGCTATGATTTCGAGCTTTGATCAGGAAAAACTAATTCTACCTCAGCAAATTCACCATCAATTTACTCAGAATTTAATGCTGATTCCGAATACGTAATTATTTTTGAATAATGTTCGAGGAGAAAGAGCAGCCTTAACGCCATTTGTCTTTCAATATCGCTAAACGCTAACTTTGTTTCGCAAAATTCTGACCTGTTGCCCCCATTTGAAACGTTGAGAGTTAGCTCATTTTGTGCAAAATTGAATGCTCTATAAGAACCAGTAGTCAAATGCTTTTTTACTTTAAAAACAGCCATAAAAAAAATACTCAAAAAGTTCTTTAAAAATATAATTGTTTTTTTGAAAAATGAAAAATTAAACAGTTGAGAAATGTCAAATATATCAATCGATGCAGTCTTTTATGCTCTTTCAAATGAGACGTTGCTCAACATTATTTGATATAATTTGACTTCAAAAAATGAAAATAACTGAAAATTTGGTGTTTTTCGTAGTTTTCAGGGATGAGTATCTTGAAATGCCTATAACTCCGTGATTAGAAGGTATCAAGATTTAGAAAAAAATTTCATAAGCACAGTTTTCCATGTAGAATCGAATGAAATAATAAAAAAGGCATGTTGCAAAAAATCATGTTATGACGATGCTCGATTGCTTCATGGATCCTCTCTTAATAATACAATATTAATTAAATCAGTTTGTTATCGTCTACTAAAGTCATATAAACGAAAAGCAAGTTTCATAATACATTAAAAAAATTTTCCTTATGTTAACAGAATAGATGTAGGATTGTTCTATATTGACAAAAATTAAAAACATATTTTTGTTCGGAAAGCCACAAACAATATGATAGTCATATGCTACTAAATATTAATTACTCATTGAACTTTAAAATCTATTAGTTTTCTACAATGTTTATTAGAAAAATTATTTGTCTATTAGAAAAAAGAAAAGAGGGTGTGGGTGTGGGTGTGGGTATTTAAACATTGTGACACTCACACCCATACCCTATACCAACACCCCACACCCACACCCACCCACACCCACATCCACCCACACCCACACCCACCCACACCCACACCCACACGCTCATAGCATATATATATATACTACACATATCATGATTGTTCATTGGTTTGTCAAACGATCTTTATGCAAATACTTGAAAGAAAAAGAAAATGAAATTGTATAAAACAAATATCACACTTATTATTTTCTGGCATCACAAATTCCATTAATTTCGATATAAGAAACAAAAATAAATAATACAATACAATAGAAAAAAAAGAAAGAACAGCGGCACACCGGAGATACGTAATTTATAATTTGTTTCAAAGAATTTCCGTTTAAAAAACGAAATAATTGACTACTTGTAGATGTTCGACAAAGTCGATTTGGTGAATTATCATCTTTTGTTTTACTATGATGATGATTAAATGAGTGTTAGTGTAAAGGTTTTGAAACACGCTTGAAAGAAGGACGCAAACTATTTGGCTTGAAATGAATTGTTTGCGTTCTCATAAATATAACCCGATGATGATTTCATACTTGCATCGTCATTCAACTTCGTAGGATCCTCGTAAACATCGTATGCAAGTGATTGTTGTAAAACTAGACATAAGACATGTTGTTTTTATTTTTAAATATCTATAGAATTGTTTTGAATGAGAGGTAGACAACATTTCCCGAAAACGAGAAATTGTTTCATTTACAACAGAAATACTGTTCAAAAAAAAAGAAAGAATTCATTCTCTATGGTGTTATTTCAAATAGAAATCCTTGATCAATTTCTATTCCGATAAGGAGAATTCTAAAAATATAAGAAAATATCATTCATTTTCTTTTTCATCTTATAGATAAATTCTTTTAGAAGTGCTATTTTTTTTTTGAACAGAAATATAAGTATTACAAATAGAAATGTTTCATTCATATCTACTTTTACAAGAAGAAGTCAAAAGACTTAAGAGATATCAATTCTAAGAACAATAAATTATATACAGATAGAATTTCTTTTCACTTTTCTTTTTATTCTTAATGCTCATGACTTTGTATGAGATAAACTATATTCAAATCAACTAATCCTATTGTTCACTACTATTTTGAAGTAGTCAAGATAGCAGAAAGATACAGCATAGTATTTCTTATCTATCCTAATGCAAAGAAAATAAACTTTTTCATATGCTAGGGTTATTAAAGAAGTGTTTCATAATTGATAATTGTCATCAATCGAATATTTCTTAGCTTTATAATCAGTTGTGAGTATCTAAAACAAAACGCTTGGTAGCACAGTCCTTTTGAGACTGAAATGTAGAATTCTCATATTTTCTTTAGTTTCATTATACTAATCACAAAATACCTGATATTTTAGATCTTCAAAAGATAATCGATTATCAGAAAATGCTCTCTCTTTCTTTGTGTCTATATTTCGAACAGATATTTTTTCTTTTTTTGACGAAGTTTCTACGGTCTGTAAGAGGTGCAGGAGAAAGATGGAGGGAGAGAGGGAAACCGCGAAATCGTTACCTTAAAACTTATACTCACTATTTGCGTCGAAAGTGCATGTGAGCTTTATAAAAGAAAAAAAAACTTACCATCATTTAATCGATTTATTTGTCGTAAATATTCTTTGACACAATGATTTACCAAGAGATATTGATCCTATAAAAAGAATCTATATTATTGAGAAGTAAATCAAATTAAATATTACCTTAGTTTGCACCATTTTTCCTCTATCTTGTCGTAATTGATAGACAATATCCATAACATCAAGTTGCATGGCTGATAATTTATTTTGCTCTTGATCAATTAAATGCATTATAGTATCTACAGCTATATAAGTACCTGTTCGACCAACGCCAGCACTTGAAAAGAA